TAAAAAAAAAAAAAAAAAAAAAAAAAAAAAAAAAAAAAAAAAAAAAAAAAAAAAAAAAAAATTCTGTCAAGACGCATATGCGCAACACCTGTACAGCCTTTACTTCACTCTTTTATATACATGTAGGAAGTGTCAACAAAACTCCCTTTGGTTGTTTTCTTTTGTGCATCCTTTCTCAAATTGTTTTATAGATCTGTCAACAATATATAGTTTGAAAAAATCACATGGAGTAGAATTTGTCAGCATGCAAAAACAAAATGAACAAACAAAAAGACCAGTTTAGATGCTACGTTAGTGACCGGAACATATAACAACAATGATAGAAGTACAAGCGACATCGACAAATGGTCTATGATTATTACAACCATAGGAAGCAAAGATCGCGGTTAAGTATCTCTAGGAACCAGTCATACAAGGAGAAGAAAAATGGCCGACTGAAAAGATCAGAAACTGCATCTTCAGCTGTAGGCACAGTTCCAATCTTTCCTCCACTCAAGAAATTAGTCAGCAGGTTACTTGCATTGTCTAATCGATTCATAGTTTTTGTTGTTTTGGATTCATCGGTGTTTGTAGATGTCTGGCACCTGTATACAGTAAAAATTATCACCATATGGCCTAGGGAGTTTCAACTGATCACATTTTCATCTTAAATGAACTTTCAATTAAGTGCTTATTATTATACCATCTGCTCTCCAAACATTAAAATCAGCACCTTTCCTTTTCATTTTAATCATGATTGGCTGGAAAGTTCAGTACTAACTCAAATTGAACTGAAATTCAACGTCAAGAAGAAATACGAACAATATCAATAGACCTAACATGTCATAAACCTCTTCATTCCACTGATTCCATCAATTTTTCCCACTTCATGTTGAAAGTGAGGAAAAAGGGGAAAAAAATTATTCATTTTCCTTTCAGAAAATATGGATTCTGTTATTAAGAAGATGTACAAATAATATAGAAGTTCTCAACATAAAATAAGAAAGAAGAAACATAAAACGAATTCCAAAGATTTGAGAAAAAATTGTCCAATGTTCAAAAAGTGAGCTCATCTCTCTGATGAACAATACCTAATAACTTAAGCTCCTAGGTAAAAATTGGGTCAGGTATGTTAGGTGCTTATTTATGGTGAAGTCACATGGATCTGGAGCAATATCTATTGGAACAGATAGATAGGGAAAAATGACAAGCAAGACATTTAATAAAGAAGAAAGATGAATTCTCACTGATGATAAATGCTAAGTTCTAATATATTACAATCGCAGAAAAATATATGACAGCTCAGCTAGTGTTAAAATTGAATACCAACAACTCAAATATTTAACACAAAAGTATCATGTGACCTTCCAGCAGCCATTCATTACTTGCAACTAAGCATAAAAGGGGAAGGAGAAGAGAATACAACTGAAACACAAACTTCTTAAGGACTCTCATAACTAAAGTTATAAGTTGTTCCACCATCCAATAAATTTGTTGTAAACCACACTTCTGAATATCTTTTCCCAAAGAGAACCATGTTCCAACCACCTTCATTTCCCTTTATGTTTACAGACATACTCTCAGCCAACCAGAAGATCTTCCCAATTACTCAAAGTGAATTTTTTTAGAAATTCATGGAAGATGAGAAACATAGTCTAAGCTACCTTCACTTGAATCGCCAACAAGAAGAAATAGAAGGGAAAGTAATGAGTTGGTTTATTTATATTTTTGCATAGGGCACAACTATCAAAAAAAGATAAAGATCATAATGAGCATATTATCTAACCCAGGCAATATTATTCTGCTGGTTAATATTATGTAAAACTGATACTCTTGTGCTTTTGCCCATTGACTTTCCGACTAAAAGAATGAATTAGAAAGAGGGTAATCAACCTACACATACATATTACAACATAAGATACTCCGGTTGCTTATGTTGTTAAATCTATTTGTCCCAAAAAAAAAAGAAGCATAAGACCATCACATATGCTAGATTTCATAATGATGGTTACAAATAACAAACAAAAAGTATTCATTTTTAAGATCTAGTTTATAAAAACCCAAGCACAAGTGAAAAAGGGAAAAAAATAAATAAATAAATAAAATTGCAAATGCCTAAGAATGGAGTGATTTTCAGTACTTCCAAGAACGACAGCTGTATAGATAGGACTTAAAGTGATTTAAAATGGAAAAAGAAGATATAAAGAAAAAGAGAATATGCAATTCAGTTTATGCTTGTCAATGGAAATAATGCAAGCATGTAGAAGATTGATGGTATTCAATAAAACTATGAAATTCATGAAACATCAGTTCCCATTCTTTCTCATTTCATTGAGTTTTCTTAGATCAGCACAAGTGTGGAGTCAATGACCATGATCCCGTAGATTATGGGTATATAAAGGCTTGAGCTACTCCACCTAATAGGTACCCTAGGCCATGTAGTTGTAGTAGAAGCTAGGAAGGTATCATGAATGATATATTCTGTATTTTCCTCTTGCTTCTGTAACTTATTCAGGACTTGAAATCAGTTGGATCAAATGTGTTATGTCATTTGATAAAAATCTCGTATGCATCCAGCATGTTAATCACTGGAAAAAGGCCTCTGTTGCTGGATAGAATTTTCCAATATTCAGTCTAACTGCTAAACAATTATACTCAAAACCTCACCAATTTCAGATTTTAACCCTTGATTGCACAAATGACGTTTGTCTTGCTTAACCTGGTGTGTTATCATTTGGCACATGCCCAGAGATTGGCCTTCTAAAGTTAACATAATCCTCCCGAAAGTAGATTTTAGTTGGTTCCTAGTTTCTCCCACTTACATTTGAGGTTGGAAACTAAAAGGCAAATTTATGAAACGCAATCAAATGCGATCCTCTTAATTAATGTTATAAGACATACATCCTTTTTTTCCTCTCCCAGAAAATTATTATAGGTTGTAAGACCCCCGTCATCTACTAAGATGTTGGCCGGATGCTACATCGGGAATGATCCAGATAGCTCGATCCTCATCATGTGGATCGAATCTATGAGGAAAGTAACAAGTGAATTGCTAATCCAAATCCAGAACTCAGAGTAAAGTTCAATTCTGTAAGTCTATCTATTGATGTACCGTGGATTTTAGTCTGTAGAACAAGAACAGCAGAATTCAATAGCAGTAGCACCCGTCATAATCCCAAGAGCTCCATCAAATTCAGTAGCTCAATATTTTGTCTACATTCAAAATCCTAAAATGAGTCATACAGAAACATGGCGCTTGAAAAATTAATATTTATAGAACTACACGGATGGCACCAAATTAATCAATGAGAAAGCAAGTACATTTTTTTAACGGTGGGTTGAATGGGGAAAATGAGTACCTGAATGAATACCCTTTTTTCTTAGCAATGGAGATACGAGCAGCAGATGAAGTAGGAAAACCGAAACAGGAAATCTCATTCAAACGATGCAGCACAGGGCTAAAAAAAAATAATTAGTAGCAGCCATTTTCCAACACAGCTTCAGTTTCAGTTTCAGCTTCTCTCCCAATTGCTGTCTATAACATTATAAAACAATGAATTTAGAATGAAGATTGAGGAAATTTTGAATTTGTTAATGATAAGGCAGCATTGAGCATTCCCAATCAAAGCTCTGCGCGGAGATCACTTTAGAAGAAAATTGGGGAAAAATTGAATTTGATAATGATAAGGCAGCATTGAGCATTCCCAATCAAAGCTCTGCGCGGAGAGTAATCTATGACACATTAATCCATTTAATAATTGGTAAATGAAAATTACAATTGACTTGCCTGAATTTTCTCTCTTTCATTCCATCGCTGCCCATCGAAGATTAGAGATTTTCTGACCGCGTAAATGTCCATCCAGCTTTTTGCTGTTTCATTGATCGATCATCTTCATCCATTGCTCGAACCATTTTTTGATTCAAGCATAATGAATGAATATGGAATAAAATGAAGGAAAAATTCAAAAAATTGGAGAGAGAAATGTTGAATGAGAAGGGGAAACCAGAGATTAGTACCTCTCCCTTATCGACAGCGAGGAGTTATCCTACTCTAATTGGCTCTACTAAAGCACGGAAGAACTAATGACTTATCCATAATTCCAAAGAGACTTGCAGCTGCAATATCAATTTATGATCATTTTAATTCAATTTCAAAGCTAAATTTAGAACTGGAGAAGAAAGAGAGAAATATGGGTGGTTGTAGTTGTGGTTTAGGATAGGAGTGGGGAGGAATGGACGAGAAGCATGGTTTATTGCATGAAGAAATGTTGTGACAGAAAAATTGAGGACGACAACCAAAAAAAATAAAAAAAAAAGAAAAGAAAGGAAGGTGATGATACAAAATGTTGGACATGTGTCCTAGCTTTGATAGCCTCTTTTATATATGTAGGATAAGATGCAAAAACAAGCATCTTATAAGCTTAGCTGAACACAAAACGTTACAAAAGAGGCACCAAATTTAGGATAACAAGAATGTTGAACTAAAGAACCCAATAAGTATTCTTTTTGCAGGTTGAAAGCTTACACTTACTATATGACAAAATGTGCTACCATATCTATTTACAACTCATAAAACCTTGTATCTGAGCATGCCGACATTTCTCCACTATACCAGTACCATAACAAATGTTTTATGGCAAAGTATTGGACGAGGTGGAAATCCTTTAGATCTACACCTTCAACACCCAGCACCAAACCCCCCCCCCCTAAAAAAAAAGAAGGAAAAAAGGGCTATATCAGCTAGTTTAGGGAGTGGGATATGATCTTTAAAATGGCAATAAAAACTGTGAAGGATACCAGAGTAACCCTAAATATAAAATCATTTTTGTACGGTTATAGCTAACACAACTCAGAAGCCAGATTGAAGAACCCCATTTTGATCAGGGTCCAGTCAGTGAGAACATATATACATAACATTCTATGCAGCATTGTATCTCAGAATACTCATGCATTGGTTTGTTATGAACTTTCGCTATCAATGATTTCACCCTCAAAGTAAGTCAAGATTAATAAGAAGTTAACAAGCACTTAAAAACTTCAACAAATCAAATTTCCGTAATGATAACAAAAACCTTGACACTAACATCCGACAAAAAAGACCAAGTGCTTGGACATTTCATGTCTACGATTTTTTACTGCTATCCTTCTTTCCACAGATGAAAGCAATAATACCAAAGGGGACGTAATTTGAATGGTTCAGTAAGCGAAATTATGAAGGTTGAAATGCCTAATTTTGTATTTGACATGTCACCACTTCTTTCTAAGCATGAAGGGAGAAAATTTCTAGGTTGAATTAAAAAAACCAATATTAGGTTTCAAGAAATCTAATAGCATATCCATTAACAAGTGATTGGAGGTCACAGATAAATTTCTCACTTGCTAGAGACGTGATAATGGACAGACTGCTAATTCTGATCAAATAACTACAGTTCGATACAGATATGATCTGAGTTATTTATAACCGCTAATAACATGGCTCAATTTGAAGACTGCTATTCAAAAAATGTATGACTTCGAAAATTACAAAATATGAATCGTTTATTCACCAAACAACCAGTACATGCTGTAATTGTAAAGCTCCCTCTTTAAGAAGAAAAATGCGTGCCTCACTAAACTACTGGACCCTATGCAAATCCAACAACCGAGTCCACAAAAATGTGCTAAAATGAGTCAAAGAGCCAAACAACACAAAGGGAACCTATTAAACCCATGAAACGAAATGAAAACTTCAGACTCGGAGGTAGTAAAATGAACAATTTGCTCAACAAATTGTCTCAATCAAGAAATCCAAACCACCAATACATAAACAGAGCGCCTTCTCATTCACACCATCAAATTATAAATTTTTGTCTAAACAAATCAGGAAAATAATGTTATCATAATCGTAAAAGTGAAATTCTTATAACAAGTGCTCTAATAGAAAATACTTGTATGCATAACATTACAAGTGAAATGGCATATTGCAAGATTAGGCCACCAGCGAGTGAAGTAAGATTCAATGATAATTTTCAGCAGGAAAAAAAGTTACTTTTAAGTCACACATCTTGAGAATGCATGCATATGCAAATCAGCAGCAAACTTCATGTATGTTCTTTTCTCTTCTTCTTCAACTTCTTAATTCTATCATCTTTTTTCAAGGAAGGGATATCCCCACTGGCCATTAATTTGTCATCTGCAATCTTTTGCTCCTTCTCATCCCTATCTTTCCTCTTGCTAGTGGTGCTGCAGGAATATTTTAAATAATAGAAAACTCAGTTCAACATCATATAAATATTCTTATTGACAGATATACTTAACATTACTGAGTTGACTACAATTTAGATCGTGACCTGTCAGCTTGAGACCATTCTTCCAAATTTGTATCTAACCATCACGTGCATCCCGTATTGGCAGCAACCAAAGAACCAGAAATGTGGAGTATCTCTTTGTCAAAGCTATAAGGACACAATACATGATTGAATTCAACAAAAGCAACATAACACAATGAACAACTTTCCAAGACAGACTTTTTTGTAAATCTTGGTATTGTATTCTACAATGTAGTCCTAGGATTGAACAAAATAAACCCACTAAATACAGGTGCTGAGAATTCTACAAGGAATGCTCTTTTAAAATCTAAAAATCACTCTTAACCTATATTTCTTAAAACATGCTCCTTGAACGCTACAATTTACAATCTCAGCATATATCTACTAACATGGATGTGTAGCAGCATAAGACGGAAAATGCTTCAATGAAAAGACTAAGGTCCAACCAGCTCTTCTTGTTTGAGTGGAATTGTGTAGTAAATTCCATTTTCAAGATCAAGAGTTCAAGTTGGTATGAACCCACGTTCAAAAAGAAAAAGAAAAAGAAAAAGAAAGAGAAAGAGAAAAAGGAAAAAGAAAAGACTAAGGTCCAACTCAATTAAAAGCTTGTGTGCCTATGCTTGATATTTTATGCACAATCATTTACAGTTTCATGGTAATACGTATTATGGAAGCACAGTATAATACACATTAAACATGTGTGTAGCATTTACTAGAGCTGTAGTTGGATAAGAAAAAATTTAAGGAGAAGTTTTAAGATACAAAAAATGTTGAACCATGGTAGAAAAATGAATTATAATTTCAGCACATAAATGAGAGAGTAAGGACTAGAAGAGAGAGGATAGAGAGGAAGAGAGATGACTTTTCACACATTTTGTCCTCACAAATCATAGTGAATCAAACATAAAATGCAGACAAAGGAGATCCACAACTTCATCATGAGCAATTCCAATGGAAATGTACAGCAATATTAGCCCATTATGGAGGTTGAAGCAGCTAAATGGCTCTCCAAAATCCACAGCCCTCATTCTGAAGACAGTCACTGTGATTAAAATTAGGTATTTCAATGCGATCTTGGTTGTACTCAAAAGTAATATTTAGAACTACATAAATAATACGAAGTCAATTTTTATTCAACCTATTCCGTGTATATATTTTCACAACCAATTTAAGATTTTTCGTTAGTGGGTTCTTTTCTTCTAAATCTAAATAAAATAGCCCTAGAAAGAAAATTTAATTCCAATGTATATTCCTTTCCTAAAACACATACAATAGCTCTATGAGTTATCATCCTTCTCAGCTTGGTTTAAGATGTCCATCAGATTTGGAATTTTAAACCCCTGCTGTCATTCAATGCTTAATTACACTTTCAAGAAACTCATCCGATCATATCTATCAATACTGAGTATTAAGTCACAACGTAGATTATCCCACAACCCAAACAAGACACAAATGAGTAGGAGAGATCACTAATATTAGAAAGACTCAGGTGTAATGAATAGTATACGGCTAATAAAATGTAAACAATTGCAATGCTGAATGAATGAATGAACTGCAAATTTTATGAAAAAAAAACTATCCAAGATACATTTCATTCAAAATAAATGTATACCATATACAAAAGTGTATATACAGCAAGCCTGTCCAATTTTTTCATACCCAGCAACTACAGAAAAGTAAACACTGTCCTTTGCAACTAAAAATATATATTTTTCCAAATTTCGACATATGATGATATTCAAACGTGGATTAACTCTGTGCAGAAATATAGAATGCAACTGATGAAAAATAACAAAGTATATTCAGTTCAGTTCACTAACTAAAACCATTAGTGGTCTTTTCTTAAATGGAAAAGAGGTATCATATATGGAAAATCGCATCCAATAGGCTCTAAAACCTCATTTCGGACAAAGAACCTAGCAGATATTTCACCTCTTGACTAAAAATCGTATTATGGTTCCAACTTTGATCTTGTGTTTCTTGTGACGTCGGCTAACAAACACTTCCTTTCCATGTTTCTGCAGCAAAATGAAAATACATAAAAACTCAATAATACTGCAATATCCCAAACACTATGCTAGCTAATACAGGATCGGTAAGGACGAGACTTTCAACTTTACACTTGAATTCATCGCGAATGTCTTCATCTGCTATAACAGCAGATGGAAAACCAAGAATCACAGCATGAATCGACTGTCTACCAATTTTAACTACCTCTCCTTCTGCGAAAAGAGACAAGTGAAAAGAAGAGAGTATCAACAAACTCATCCAGTTTACATAGTCCTCATTTCATTGAAATTATTCCACCTTCCATCAAAATATTCAAAATTTACACTAGAGTGAAACGATAGGGAAACTACCTAAAAGCATATTTGGCTTGGGACTACAAAGCAACAATTTTGCTTTTAACCTCACACCAAGATACGGATGAATTCCGGGAAGAATCTTTGCCAAATTACTTCGTACATTCGGATCATTCACCAATACAACGCCATCAAAAGTCTCATTGTATCTATAAGGACAAGAAACAAATTCAAACAAACAAAACACTCAGATTCAAATATTAATACAAAAGGTAACAAATACAGAAATCAATTTATGGTACTGTATATCCAAAAGCGTTAATTGTTACATTCTAAAGGAATTCGAATGTTGTTGAGTCTGGGCACAAAGAAATTATTTTATTATACAAACAGAGCACTGGAATTTATATTATTGGACAATTCATTTAAGAAGCTCAAGCAAGCACCTAAAGCTCACCCACTCTCGCAGCACTATACTCTCTGAATTGTATCACACTGCCCACTGACAAGACAAGCAGAAAACTCATACCATCCAATTTTTTCCCATCACGTCGGTAACCGCTTATGTTTCGTTTTTACAAAAAAGTAGCAAAATCCAAGAATAAGAATCCAAAAATTGGAAAACAAATAACAAAAGAGAAACAATCTCGTGCATAGGAGAAAGGGTTACTTGAAAAACATGAAGAGTAAAGAGCTTAGCTCACGGAGGATAGCATTGTTGACGCATTTGGCCATGGATGGGTGGAGATACACCACCAAGTTTGCTTCGCATTCTTTCAATCCCTCCATATAAATAATTAATAGTACAAAAACCAATATCAGATGGAAGATATGCTCGAGAACAGGGACGAATCTAGCATCAACGTTCAGCTAGGTTGGAGGTTGACTTTGATCATTAACCGTCGTCAATCAACGATCATAAAAGCTCGGACCTGCAGGCAGCCCGTCATTTATTAAAATTTGATTAAATAATATTAAAAATTATTCAGTATATTTGTAAATGTACTAAAACGTAAAAATTATATACATATGAAAATAGAGTCCAATACAAACCAAAATCAACGACGAATCCACGATCAAAATCCAGCGAGGGTGGGTCGACCGTTGACCGTCGACATCGTAATAGTCCGATCGTTTATTAAAATTTGGTTACATAATATTAATAGTTATTCAATAATCATCACTCACAAAACATAAATTACTTATCATAAATCACAATTTGCAAACATAATTTCGTAAACATAAATTCTCAAATCAATAATCATTCCTCGCCAAAACATAAATTACTTATCATAAATCACAATTCGCAAATATAATTTCGTAAACATAAATTCCCAAATCAATAATCATTCCTCATCAAAACATAAATTACATAAATCACAATTCGCAAATATAATTTCGTAAAAATAAATTCCCAAATCAATAATCAATCCTCATCAAAACAGAAATTACTTATCATAAATCACAATACACAAATACAATTTCGTAAACATAAATTCTGAAATCAATAATCAATTAATATAACTCATGATAAAACGTAAATTACTTTTCATAAATCATAATTCGCAAACATAAATTCCCAAATGAATAAATCGTAACATAATTAACATTAAGTTATTCAATTCGACAATACTCAACATCAACAAGACAACAACTCCAAGTCTCCAAGTCAAGTACACAAACACAGTAGGAAGTAGGCTAGCCAAATCAAAATAGAACCAAATCAAAATGGCCAAAACAAAATATAACAAAAACCCCAAAAAAATAAAAAATAATAAAATAAAAATAAAAAGAGGGAAAGAAAGTTCACCACTCACCGGCAGTCACGGTCCGTTCACTGCAGCAGCCAGCAGAAGCAGAAGTCGCAGTCTCGCACTCGCAGAACACGTCGTTCGTTGCCTTGGCTCCGGGCTCCGGCGAATGCTGCGTCTGCCTCCTGGAACAGTGGAGTGGAGAGCTAGGTCGCGTTACTCATGTGGATTGGAGTCCGGAGAAAGAAGAGAGGAGAACCGAATAGGGTTTGGGCGTTCCGCAATGTGGGAATTGTGGCAATTGGCCCTTTAACCCGGCTGATAGGTTTTAGCCCCGTTTGGCCCAATCTCCCTCTCAAATTCTTTCTCACTTTCTTATTTTTAACTACATAATCTTTCATAAAATATTATTATACGTAAATAAAAAAAATTAATTCTTTTTCAACCTCGTATTTAAATTTGAAAATAAGGGAAGCCAAACAGGAGCTTATTGTCATTTGACCAGTTTTTTCTTTAAAAAAAAAAAAATAAAAGCTATTAATTTCTATTTTCCATTTTTACCCTTAAGCCCTGAAGAAAATAAAATAATGAACGACTATATCCTTTCTCTTTCAAATCTGCCATTTCGGATTTCTTCTCCTTGTAGCTTTCACTCCTCTGCTAAATTCAGTTTCTCCTTGTTCTCCACTCTCACTCTTCAACAGCTCCTTCAACATAGTCAGTCCTTCCTGTTGACACATAAAAATTCAGCCCAAGTCGAACAGTCCAAGGAATAAAGCCCAATGGGAGAATCCCCAAAACAGACGGCCCAAAGAATGAAGTCCAATCAAACGAGTCAAGGTGAAGGCCCAAACAAGAGGCCCAAGAATGCGGTAATGCCATCGCCCAAGTTTGCAAGTCGCTCAGAATCTGAAAACGAACGAGTGTCATACGGTCGCCCAGAGCTGTTGTTCTACTCTCGCCCAAACCTTCAAGTCGCCCAAGGTGTCAATAAACATAACGCATCGTGATTATCAAGGAATGCAGTTATCAAGGCAGTTGTTAAAGTAGCCTTATCACGTTCCACAACTCAAGGAAGTCAATCGAAAGCAGTTGGACGATGAAAGATAATGGCAGCAGTTAAAAGGCGGTTTCATGACAAAATGGCCACTACAAAGAAAGTGGATAGTTATAGGACGATCAAGCAGTTTTCAGAGTAGTTAATCACAAAGAGATCGTCTATGAGGTATAAAAGGGAGAAAAGGCGTAGAAGCAAAGGACCGAATCCAAAACTCTCGAACAAGAGAATATGTAATTTTCATTTCTTTAGCTTTTAGACTTAAATACTTTCCTTTCTGTAACTCGTGTGCTTGCGCCCCTTGGAGGCACGTTGTTTTTCGTTTCCAATTGTAAAGTTCATCGCCAATAAAAGAACACCCCCCCCTTTTTGGGACTTTGTCTCAAGAGGTTTCGTCCCTTACACAATCGTCTGATCCCCTTTAATTGTTAGCGAGTTAACCCGCGCGAAACACTTCCTCAAGCTCAAAATCAGAGAGGCCTAATTTTTTATATTTAATGAAGAAAATGAAAAATCTTTCTTCATTCCTCTCCTCTTCCGTCCTTGCTCGACTCGTCACCACCTGCTTGACTCATCGATCCATAACAGTAATTAAGCACTCTCTCCTTTGACATTCCCTAGTTTGCAGTGGCCACACATCCCCATTATTTACGCTTTCTCCTCTTCTTACCCATTTAACCCAAGGCGCTAGGAATTTCAATTGTTCACTTTTTATGAAGTGAGTATTAATGCTCATGTTAATTCTCAGTTGCAACCAGAGCAAGCTCTTTTTTATTTTGGTCAAATGGTTGATAAAGGGTTTGTGCCCAAGGCAGCTACACTGAATAATGTACTGAATTTTCTTATGAAGAGTAATAAATTCGAGAAAGCTTGATGTGTATTTCCTACATATATAAAAGAGCGGTGCATAGCGGGACATGCATCAGTCATATATTTCGTCTTGTATTTTTTTTTATCGTTTCTGGCTTGAACCATACCGTTTCTCCATCATTTTTAGCTAGCCCATTCCTCTGCTATTGATTTTGTAAGAAGGCATGATTTCTCTCCCTGATTCATCCCCTAATTCATCGAGTTCTTCTCTGATTCTCTACCCTGACAATTGCAATTTGTAAACTTTTCCATTTCCATACGGTTGGAGATTCATCAAAATTTTAGCGACATCATTTGCCTGCTTCAACTTCATCTCAAGGTAATGTGATTGATCAATTTTACGAAATGAGTGTAATGTCAAACTCATACAATCCATTCCTCTCTTCAGTTGTTAAGATTTGTGGTGAATTGAAGTAGTTTGGTTTGTAGTTCTAATTGATTGTTGTCAAAGTATTTGATCAATTGTCTAAGTGTACTTTCAAACTGATTTTGATAATATGCACTATGATTAAAGTTCATTTTGTTTATAAATTGTTTGCTTATTTCATATTTCATTTGCTCAGTTCATTTTGTACATCGTTGGTGAGAATGTTGTTTATGTGTTGAGGAGAATAAAAACATTCATTTTAACAGAATGCCAAAAAAAATGGAGAAAAAATTAATAAAGAAAAAAAAATACAAGGAGCAAAAGCTCCGTGCTGCAAGGAAATTTTTTTCCCCACATCGTACAGCTTCTCTACCTCTTTCTTGCTATTTTTTTCCCCTTGATTTTTGGGTAGCTCGCAGTTCCTTTTTTGCACATCGAAAACTATTTGAAAGTATAAAATTTCCTTTTGTTCAACCTATTTGTGAGTTTTGTAAGATTTTGAACTAGGATTTTTGAGTTTAATTTATGCTTGGCACTGATTACTTTGAGAGGTTTAATGCCCTTTTTTTTCTAAAAAAATTATTAGTTTATGTTTGCATTTTTTTTTTTTTGAAAATACGTAGATGGTGGTGTACAGATTGCTCCGTGCTACTGGGCACGCAGGGAGCAAATAATAATAATAATAATAATAATAATAACATTTTTTAGAACAAAAAAAAAGTAAAGACACGAAGCTGGAACAACTGCTCCGTGCAGCACCCATGACTTTTTTTTTTTAGTAGTGGCTTTTGTTTTGAGCTTTTTTTTTTTATTTTTAATATAGATAGTATCCAAATATCATATTTAAGTCGTTTAGGACATAAAAATATAAACAGTATCGAGTTTCATATTCATACAAAATATTGTCTAATAACAATATTTCATTAATGTAGATGAATAACTCACTAACAAAAGTTGAACTTTATTCTTCATAAACATAATATTCCTTTTTTTTTTTTCAATATCAGTTTCAAAATGTCTTTCACATTTACAAATGAATTTCTGAAAAATTTACACACACTTATTTCTAACATTAATTAATCAACTTAAAAAACCCCTTTTTTCAAAGGTTTTAATGGTTTCCTTCATTAATTCATAGGTTTCTAACATTAATTAATTTATAAAGGTTTTAATGGTCCCTTCATTTTTCAACAAACCCCATTTTTTCTTTGTTATTTTCTTTCCTTTAATCTCTTCTTCATCCAAAAAGCAAGCGACAAATGCTCCTACAGTTCCTACTAAACAAACACCACTTTTCTTTTGAAACGACTTCACAAGTTGCATCTATTTTAACTTGTGCAAAGGATCTACAATTTTTTTTTTTTCAATTTCCAAGTTATCCATTTTTTTTATTTTTTAATTTTACATTGTGTACCATTTTCTAATATGAAGTTTTTCCATTTGTAGGCTTTTGTATTTATAAGTATTGGACCGTTCTTCCTGCTCAAGGCAATCTGGTGAGAACAATTTTTGCATTTTGCTGATTTTTGTTTATTGTTATTATTATTATTATTATTATTATTAAATTTTTTTGTCATGTGCATAGAATTTGTTCTTTATTATTTGTATCAATTTTTGGATATTTTAAGAACTTGTATTGGAGTTTTTTATTATTTTAGAATTTCTCTGCAGTTATGAAAATTAGAATATCTGCATTTCTAGATCAAGTTTAAGATTTGAAATTCACTTTAATGTTCTTAATTTGCATTCACAGTTTTTAACATTATTATGTTGCCTGTATTACTTGGATTTCCAATGTTAGAGATGCTCTTTTAGAATCTTTTTTATTAGAGACAATATTGTAAATTTAATGTCTTGCAATTCCGTTTGCCTTCTTTATATTGACTTAGGTAACATAGTTCTTTATTGTCAGTTAAAACGTAATCAAAGAGAAACTTATCAAAAGTGATACCTTACATGCATGTTTATATGGTATTTGACCGTCATTTCTCCTCCTCTATTGTTTTTGATCGGACTATTTTCTGAAGTCTCTAAGTCTTATAAGTTCTTTAACTATTTGCATCTATTTGATTGACTAAGTTGACAATACATATCATAATTTTTCTATATACCCAATTCATTTGACACTATAATGAAAGATCAAAACAATCCATGTTGTGAATCTGAGTAGTCCGTTAATCTTGTTTTATATATTTGCCCTTTTTGAGTTTGTAATCACATCTTGGTCTTAGTCTAGGACTCTTGTCATACAGCAAAATTGATCTTGAAGTTCTCATAAAGTTTGGTGTGCCTCGAGACCAAAAAAATGCTAGTTAATGGATAATTATTTTTATTCTTCCCTTAAGGCTTCTACGATTATATAGATCTCTACTTATGGTTTCATTAATTGCTCATGTTATTTGCCACAAATCTTATGCCTATTATTAAGAATGAAATCTTATTCTTGTATACACTACACATTGCGAAATCGCTGGTGATGGAAGTTGGTATAGGTTACACAGTGTTATGAGCATGTTTGGCCAAGGTTAAAATTAAGTAGCTTTTTAGCTCCAAACTTATTTAGATAATTTACCTTTTTCTTAAGTTTGAGTAAAAAAGTTGCTTATTTTTAAAGTGTATATTACCTTTATGTCGAAATAAGTAAAATTTATGAGTGGCCATTGCAAGAACATTTCATTTCTTCTCCGTGCCTTCCTTCTACAATTTTCTATTTGTTTTTCTATTTTGGTAATTAAATGTCAATTTTTCCCAAATCTTCTAGCTTCTTTTCCAAGATGTGTAGTTAAAATTCTCAAAAATTTCCACAAATCTCATGCAATCAGGCTCTTATTCTTCAGTTCTTAATAATATAGGGTTGAAATTGGATGCTTGGTTTCTTTAGTACAAAATTTCTTAGCAGATTCTCAAATAGTTAGAAAACGCTTCTATGTCTCTAAGTTAGCTTCAATTTTCTTAGGTCTTACTTTAGAAGTATTTATAAAATAATTGCTAATTTCCGATTTTCCAT